AACACACTTACCAACCGAACGAGGGTAGTGGTGGTCTACGCCAAAGCGAGGCATCACTACTTCTCCAAAGAACGTAAGGCATACCGGGTATGCAAGGTGGTTTTGGTTATACTCAACGATATGAGTGATGGAGTCCTAACATGTCGTGGCAAAGTGAATAAATTGTTTAGAGAGCATTGGATACGACGATTTATTCAACCAAGAGTGGCTTGGAGCCATTATCAAAGCGTTGCTTACCTTAGGAGATTGAGTGTTAAGACAAGCTAAAGCATGCTTAACCACTCTTTGTTCCTTTGGATCTTGGAATCGACTTATTCTCATCTAAAATGGGGCAATCTTTAATGTGTGAATAAGACGTTTTAAATTAGTTTGATTAAAATGCATGAATTCAATCTTATTTAAGTATAATGAATGATTTTTCATTTCAAATTTTTTCAATTGTAGAATCATGTCTTCAAATAACTCAAACAACCAATTCTCGTTACGCTCAATTCTCGACAAGGAGAAGCTGAGTGGGCCAAATTTTCTTGATTGGCAAAGGAACTTGCGAATTGTTCTCATGCAAGAGCAAAAGGAATATGTCCTTGATGAGGAAATTCCCGAGGCTCCCAATGAGGAGGTGACTCAAGCTGCCCTAAATCGATGGCAAAGTGCCAATCGAGAAGTCAAATGCATCAAGTTGGCCACAATGTCTCCTGAGCTTCAAAAGACTTTCTTTGAAAAAGAGACGGCTTTTGAGATCATTTCTGAATTGCAGAATATGTTCCAAGAGCAGGCCCGAACTGAAAGTTTTGAAACCCACAGGCAGATCCTTGAGAGCAAGCTCAAGAAAGGAGAGTCAGTCAGCCCACATGTAATCAAAATGATTGGATTGTTTGAAAACATGGGAAGGCTTGATACGGGGTATTCAACCGAGATGGCAATTGACATCATTCTCCACTCGTTGCACAAAGGCTATGATCAGTTCAAGATGAACTATAATATGCACAGCATGGATAAAACCCTCACCGAGCTTCATGGTATGTTGAAGCAAGCTGAGCAAACGCTCAAGGATGAGGGAAAGCATGATATGCTCATGATTAAAAAGGGCAAGCCGTTCAAATTTTTGGGCAAGAAGAAGAAAGGCTTTAAGGGGAAAGGTAAGAAGAAAACTTTTTCGCCTAAGTCTAAAGCTACCAAGGATAAGAAGGTAGCGTCTTCTAAATTTGATTCCGAATGTTTCTACTGTAAGAAGAAGGGACATTGGAAGAGAGATTGCCTCAAGTTCAAGGAAGATAAGAAGAACGGAATCGTTGCTTCTGAATTAGGTATATTCGTTATAGGCTTTAACTTCACTAGCTTAACATCATGGGTATTAGATACCGGATGTGGCTCACACCTTTGTTCCAATCCTCAGGGACTAAGGAACGCTAGAAGGCTAGAGAAGGGAGAGATTGAACTCCGGGTCGGCAATGGAGCCAGAATTGGTGTCGTATCCGTAGGAACTCTCAGTTTGTCTTTGCCCACCGAGCTAGTTTTTGAACTCGATAATGTTTATTATGTTCCTAACATTACCAAAAACATTATTTCAATATCGGCGTTGGACGCCAAAGGTTTTGAATTTCGAGTAAAGGGCAAAGAATGTTCGTTTTATCTCGATAATGTTTTATATGGTATTGCACATTCTGAAAATGGCCTTTATGTGCTTTCTTTAGACAAACAAGTTTATAATGTGAATAATGATACCAAAAGAGCTAAGACCATAGAGTCAAATCAGACTTACTTGTGGCATTGTCATCTTGGCCACATCAACATCAAACGCATCAAGAATTTTCTACAAGAAGGTGTTCTTGACTCTTTCGATTTAGAATCGTTTGAGAATTGCGAGGGATGTCTATTAGGCAAGATGATTAAACAGCCATTCTCCAAGTTGGGAGAAAGGGCAAGTGACTTATTGGGTCTTATACATACCAATGTATGTGGACCAATAAGCTCAACCACAAGAAATGGACATCGATATTTCATCACTTTCACAGACGACTATAGTAGATTTGGCTATGTCTACCTCATGTCGCATAAATCTGAATCATTTGAAAAGTTCAAAGAATTTCAAAGTGAAGTTGAAAATCAGCTTGGCAATAAAATCAAAGCCCTTCGATCGGATCGAGGTGGTGAATACTTGAGCCAAGAATTCGATGACCATCTGAAAGAAAAGGGTATACTTTCAGAATTAACACCTCCAGGAACTCCTCAATGGAACGGAGTATCCGTAAGGAGAAATCGAACCTTGTTAGACATGGTACAATCAACAATGGGTCTTAGTGATCTTCCTATCTCTTTCTGGGGACACGCACTTCTAACTGCGGCACTAACACTGAACCGTGCTCCATCAAAAGCTGTAGAAAAGACTCCATATGAATTATGGACGAAGAAACCTCCCAGGTTATCTTTTCTAAAGATATGGGGATGCGAAGCATATGTCAAGAAATTGATTTCTGACAAACTTCATCCCAAATCTAACAAGGTTTACTTTGTGGGCTACCCAAAAGAAACCAAAGGGTATTACTTCTACAACAAATCGGAGAACAAAGTGTTTGTTGCTCGCGATGGTGTCTTTTTGGAGAAGGAGCACCTTTCCAAAATGACAAGTGGGAGGAAAATCGAACTCAACGAAGTTCGTGAGGATGAGCAACAAAATCATAATGACAGTCAAAGTGCTCAAACAGTATCTGTTGACGCAGGTCAAAATGATCAAAATGTGCAAAGTCGAACCGACAATGCAAATGCTCAATCCATTACCATACGTAGGTCTCAGAGGCCGAGATCTCAACCTGATAGATATCTTGGTTTAGTATTAACCGAGAATCAGGACATCCTGATTATGGATGGAGATGAACCGGCAACCTACAAGCAAGTGATGGCAAGCACCGACTCTGCTAAATGGCAAGAGGCCATGAGATCTGAAATGGATTCCATGTATGAAAATCAAGTCTGGGACTTGGTTGACTTACCCGAAGGTTATACACCTATCGGATGTTAGTGGATTTTCAAGTTGAAAACCGACAAAGATGGAAATGTATTCATTTACAAAGCTAGATTGGTGGCAAAAGGTTACAGACAAGTTCATGGTATTGATTACGATGAAACCTTTTCACCAGTCGCAATGCTTAAATCCGTTCGGATCCTCCTAGCAATTGCTGCATATTACAATTATGAAATATGGCAGATGGACGTCAAAACCGTCTTCCTTAATGGTTATTTGGAAGAAACTGTGTATATGACACAGCCTGAAGGTTTTGTCGACCAAAACAATGCTAGGAAAGTTTGTAAGCTTAAGAAGTCTATTTGTGGATTAAAGCAAGCAAGCAGAAGTTGGAATCTGCGATTCGATGAAGCCATCAATAAGTTTGGTTTTATCAAGAATCCAGATGAATCTTGTGTTTACAAGAAGGTTAGTGGGAGTGACATCGCCTTCCTAGTCTTATATGTCGATGACATATTGCTCATTGGAAACAACATTCCGTTGTTAGAGTCTGTAAAGGTCTGGCTTGGAAAGTGCTTCTCAATGAAAGAATTGGGAGAGGCTCAGTACATACTAGACATCAAGATCTATAGGGATAAATCGAAAAGGATGATTGGATTGAGTCAGAGTACTTATATTGATAAGGTACTTGCTCGATTTGGCATGGAGGAGGCTAAGAGAGGTCACCTGCCAATGTCACATGGCATAACCCTAAGCAAGAAGCAGTGTCCACAGACACCTGATGAGCGGGTAAGAATGAATCAGATTCCATATGCTTCGCTTATTGGATCGATCATGTATGCCATGATATGTACTAGGCCAGATGTATCGTATGCCTTGAGTGCTACGAGCCGTTACCAATCAGACCCAGGAGAGGCGCATTGGACTGCGGCCAAAAATATCCTAGAGTACCTGAAAAGGAACAAGGATAAATTCCTGGTGTATGGTGGTGCAGAGGATTTAGTTGTGGAAGGTTATACCGATGCAAGCTTCCAGACAGACAGAGACGATTTCAAATCGCAATCTGGACATGTGTTCTGTCTAAATGGAGGGGCGTTTAGTTGGAAGAGCGCAAAGCAGAGTACAACTGCAGATTCTACAACTGAAGCCGAATACTTAGCAGCTGTTGAAGCAGCTAAGGAGGCTGTTTGGATTCGTAAGTTCACTAGTAGAAAAAGGCTTATTTGCGTCGCTCATTTATAGTGTATTTGCGTCGCTTCTATGAGCGACACAACTGCTCGCGACGCAAATGACTTTTAAGTCATTTGCGTCGCTCCTAGGTGCGAAGTCATTTGCGTCGCTCCTTTATAAACGAGCGACGCAAATGACTTTTTTGATAAACGTATTTTTTGTCATTTGCGTCGCTCCTTTATAAATAAGCGACGCAAATGACTCTTCTTATAACCTTATTTTTTGTTATTTGCGTCACTCTTTTATAAAGGAGCGACGCAAATAACTCTTCTGATAAACTTATTTTTTGTTATTTGCGTCACTCTTTTATAAAGGAGCGACGCAAATAACTCTTCAAATAAACTTATTTTTTGTTATTTGCGTCACTCTTTTATAAAGGAGCGATGCAAATAACTCTTCAAATAAACTTATTTTTTGTTATTTGCGTCAGTCTTTTATAAAGGAGCGACGCAAATAACTCTTCAAATAACCTTATTTTTTGTTATTTGCGTCACTCGTTTATAAAAGAGCGACACAAATGACTTTTCTGATAAATATTTTTAGTTATTTGCGTCGCTCATTTATTAACAAGCGACGCAAATGACTCTTAAGATAAACTTTTTTGTTATTTGCGTCGCTCCTTTATAAACAAGTGACGCAAATGACTGAGTAGACAATACAAAATTGTTGTATTTGCGTCACTTGTTTGTTTAATGAGTGACGCAAATGAGGTGATTTTTTTTTTTTAATTATAATATAATAATTGCCTTGTATATTATTGTAGTACCTGTTTTCCTAGGTATGAAGTAATATGCTAACGCTAATATAATTGAAATTAAAATGCAATATTATTGAATAATGCAAATGTAAATTTCGACAGAGTCTCCTTTGTAATTTGGCCTACCCATAAAATTGGGAATGACGGCATTATATTAACAACCTGTCCAATAATTTACATCTCAATATCATAGACATTATACTCATCATCCCAACACCAATTAACCAAATTACTTCATTTCAAGCCTATAATCCAAAACAAGAGTCAAACATGCGCTAAGTGGTAAATTTAAAGTTCAACATTACATATAAGATACTCTGCCCAAATATCTCGGATTTCATTTATCTCCTCCTCGGTGTACGGTGTAGTTCTTGAAAAATCCTATCAACACAACAAATATACAAGAGGAAAGTTTTAATTCAAGATTGTAGCTAACATCAAATTGTATTTATCAAACAAAAATGAAATATTTGACAACTCATACCTGAATAAGATCTTCACTGCTATGGTAATGTTCAAGTATTTTGTACATATAACGCATGACGTAGTAGCCACACTCACGTTCACCCAATTGTTAAGGACACTACATGTAATATATTTGTAAGTTGAATTAAATTGCTATACTTCAATTATTAAGAAACTAAAAGTTAGGGTAAGAAATTAAGGTAACCAGTCCCAAATGTCATGTCAATTTACTTCCCCTAGATTGTCCACTTAATGCCTTAAAACTTCGAAAAGCACTACACATTTGAAACCAGGGACTATTCAAGACTTACTCCTAATGAGTAAGCCCTGAACGGGTATCTAAGCCAATGATGCAAGTATTATTGCAATTCCAATCAATTATATCACAATTAAAAATCTCATACAATTCACAATCATTATACCAATTAACTAGAACAAATTGGTTAATATTGCAAAGAATGGTTCAGATATATATACCACAAATGAAGACAATCTCGTATGCGTACTACCGCCTTAATCGTTTGTCCACAACCAGAACCTCGAGCAACTTGTGGAATTCACTTCCGCATAATTAAGAATCTGCCATAAAAAATTACATATATTAAACCAACATAGTTGATTCAACTTAATCTACCATGTGACATAAAAGTTGTTATTCGGCATTGCTTATTAGCCAATCATGGTGTAAAACTTGAAGACCTGAAACGAGTGTTAAATGCTAGGTCCAACTTAATTTGCCATGTGAAATAAATGCTAGTTGTTATTTTGAAATTTTTTTTTAATTAAGGGTTGAACAATGTGGTTGTTTAATGGATGGGATATTGATTTATAGTTTTTTTAACTTGATGACTGATTGAAGGTCACCTTAGCTAGGTCCAACGGATGGGAAGTACCTTTTTGTCGCCTAAAGTATGTAAAATTTTCAGTCCAATGAATTAACAACCTTATAACAGCTGCAAAGCTAATGTTTTATTGCCATCAAAGTTAAAAACAACCTCTTTATACTTGAAAGTATTTCTTGACATTACCCAGTGCGCTGTGGCATTCTCATAACACAACAGATATAAGAAGACAACATACCAATGATCCAATAGCAACCAGGGCACGAAATTTTGAATCTAGATCAATACTCTCTGCTTCAGCAATCTGCAACCAGAGAATAAATCAAACTTTTTACCCAGCAAATAAAACTATAAAAGTAGCACTTCTGCATTATTATACTTAAACAATTTGTAAGCTCAATCCATGAGCATCGCAAATACTCCTCGATTTTAAATTATCTTTTAAGTTTTCCAAATAGATTTAGTAATTGTTGGCCACTGTATTCAATCAAAATTTATTAACATATTCCTACATTCTCAAACATAAATGCAAAATGATCCCATTGAACAGTTGAATCTGAGCAAGCATTATAAGATTGCTATAGTTTTAATTGTATCAACACATAAGACAAAAACTTAATACAAAGGGCAGTTGAAAGGAACCAGAGGATTTTAGTATTTTACCTCAAGTGCAGCTGATAATACTTGTAATTGCCCTTCTTCATCTCTCTTTTCAATCAAGAGCACAGCAAAGCTAATACAATTACAATGGTCAGGCAACAAGATTTCATAGTATCACCACAGAAAATTGAACTTGAAGTGAACTCGCAATATATATTATAAAATTCAAATTTTATAAAACCATTGGACATGCATCAGCGAGTCCCAAAAAATACATATATAAACAAACATATTCGCCAAATGATCTGGATATCATAGTCCAACTTAAAATAATCTGAAATTCAATATGGATCATAAGTTTTCTGTATATTGTAAACAAAATATTTGACTGGTGTACTTAGTTTGACAAACATCATGTGTTGCCACGTAACGCGGCACAAGCAGCCAAATCAATCAATAGAAATATCACTCCGTAATCGTCTATTGTCTCCCTATGCAGTATTCGAGATCGGTGCCATAGATAAACCCAAACATACTTCACATGAGATTTTCCATACTTCTCCGATGCGAACAAAAAGAAAACAATTATCCAATACTCACCGACTCCAATCACCAAATTAATAGTCATGTTGATAGCGTAATTGGACTATATGCTCATAAGTCATGACAACCAAATCTGATCATCCGGACAAAGGGAGTAAATGTAAAAACTGCTAGAACTAAAAAGCAGTCAATTCAGATAGACAGAAACTTCAATTTTACTTCTAAATGACTTCACCTAGCTTATTTATTTATTTATTTATTTTATTTTATTAAATATCACTTACTTTTAAATATTATTCACATTGAAAAAACAAGTAAAATATTATTTTTTTTTGGTGTAATTTGGAGTGTAACATTATCATAAATATGGGAAATATAATTAACACTGATCACAAATTTCAGAACCCATACGCATTTCTATAAGAATGCAATTATGCATCACGAATGGACTGTTTGACTGTCACTCCTGTATCGCGTTTTTCTATCTTCTCTGTTCATATATCTTCTGCACCACTGCAACACTTCATATGCAACTTTGCTCTTTAACAAAATCTCAATAGTAGTCCTATGCTTTATATAAGAATTTCCATGAATGTATGTTATCCTCAGAGAATGTGTTATAATGTAATTACAGATTTTTCCAACCAGGTATATTGGCTGTGGCTTCATTCACCATATTTATTAATCTTACCCAAACAAGTAAAATATTACAATCCAGAAAATACTTCATAGACCGAGTAATCAATATTAAAAAAAAAACACATATAAAAAAATCATTGAAGTTTTAAAGCTAATTAATTAATTTAACTCAATTTAAGAAATTCAGGTAAAATTCCAGAAATAGTTGAGTTTATACCTGTAAATCCAGAACTTTCCAGTTGAATTACTGTAGCAACCGTCAGAATTTCGCTCAAAATTTCTAGGACGCCAAAGAAAAACACGAATCAGGATTCCAGAAAGCACAAATCAGATGAATCTTAAAAAAGGAATTTTTTGGGGTTTCTGGGTTCGAATTCGTATGCTTTTGAGTTGATTTTTGCTCGAAATGGGGGATTTTTGGTCGGAAACAATCAATTTTTCTGGGTTTAAGGGTTCGAATTTCTTAGGGTTTTTGGTCTAAATTTTTGCTCGAAATTGCTCGGATTTGCTTCAACTTGACTGCAATTTTAATTTAGATGTTAAATTTGCTGGGAATCGCAGTTTTTTGGCCTAATTTTTTGGATTTCAGAGACGAATTTGTGGGTGTTTTGCTGTAGCAATTCACTGGAATTGAAGAACTCTTGTTTTTTTTTCTTTTTGTTTAGTGAATGTAGGCGTATGTGATGAAAAACTAAGGTAAAAAAACGCAGAAAACCTAAAGCCAAAAGAGTTATTTGCGTCACTTTATTATAAAAAAAGCGACTCAAATAACCTTGTTTATGATATTGTAAACAGCTCATATGCGTCGCTCATGTAGTAAAAGCGTGGCGCAAATTAATTAATCACTTATTTGCGTCGCTTGTTAACAAATGAGTGACGCAAATAAGTTTATTAATTGCGTCGCTTTAATAAATAAGAGCGACGCAAATGAGAGAAAGCTGAAATGTTCTTGAGTTTTGCGTTGCTTCTTGAATAACATGCGACGCAAATAACTTAACAGGATGGTAAAAATAAACATTTGCTTCGCTCCTTAGAATGAGTGACGCAAATATGGCGACGCAAATGTACATTTTTCTACTAGTGGTTCGTTGGTGAACTTGATGTTGTACCCTCTATAAAGGGTCCAATAGCCCTCTATTGTAACAACAATGGAGCTATTGCTCAGGCCAGAGATCCTAGGGAACATCAGAAGGTCAAACATGTCAAGCGGCGATTTCACATGATTCGAGAATGGAAATCAGAGGGTGAAATCAGAATTTGCAAAGTTGGAACGGATGACAATGTAGCCAATCCACTTACTAAACCTTTGCCTCAAGTGAAGCACAACAAGCACATTGAGGCAATGGGAATCAAGCATGTAGGAGACTGGCTTTGATTTCCTTGTTTAGTGTTTTAGTTAATTTTGAGAAAAATTAATGTAAGACGCTAAGGAAAACCATTCAAGTTTTGGAGTAATATAAAATTTCATGCAATATTTTATTACTCCATTATGCTATTTAATTGTGGTTTAGGATTAAATAATGGGTCCATTCGATTCTGAGAATATTCAAAATAGGGTATCAAGACCAGTATTGGTAAGGAAACACCTATTAAGTGAACACTGAATATTATAATTGAACATTGAAACATTGAATATTATAATTGAACATTGAAACATCTATTAAGTGAACATTGAATATTTATTAAGTGAACATTGAATATTATAATCGAAAATTATCCCTAATCAAGGTCATTTAAACGATGGACGATTAATGACCGATTGAGATTAGTGTGTAGTTTGATTTATAGCACCGTTTCATGTGCTACAAGGACATGATTGTCATAAATCATTTGCATAGGTATTGGTTTAGAACCATACTGGATCGACCTATGAGAATACTTTAAGAAATTAAAAAAAAATTGTCATAATTATACTTCTCATTATGGCTATCGGAACCTATTTCCTCGACCATGAGTATTGTGAGTTCTCTTGTTTGAGTACTAGTAAACCTGGGCACGGGCCGGGTTGGCCCGCGTGCCGCCCGGCACGGCCCGCCGTTCGGCGCAGCCCGGCACGGCCCGAATTCAAGCACGGCACGGCACGAAGTTCAACTCCCGTGCCACGGGCCGTGCCACGGACAGGGTTGAGAATTCCCAGGCACGGCCCGGCACGAGCACGGGCATGGCCCGCCGTGCTGGCCCGCAGACACGGCCCTTAGGCACGGCCCGCGGGCCAACGGTAATGTTACCGTTTATTCTAGCTCGTTAATAAGCCAAAAAAACGGCTAAAAAACGGCTAGTTTTTTGCCAATTTGCTCCCCAAAAATTCTATAAATACTCACCTCCATTTCATTCCCAAATCACAAAATCACAATCTCTTCTTCTTATCTCTTATATTCTCTAAATCTCTAATAATCCTTATTTTCTTAAATTTTCTAATTATTCTCTTAAATTCTCTAACTATTTTCCTAATATCGGAAAAAATTAAAAAGTGCGTAATCGTAATTAGTGGAGCGTTGAAGCACGGTTGTAAGATCTAAACTAATCTTAAATTTATTATTGTTTTATTGTTATTATTAGAATAATCTTGTTTAATTATTATTGTTGTTAATTGTTATTGTTGTTGTTATAATTGTTGTTATTAATTATTATTATTGTTACAATTGTTGTTATTATTTATTTTTGTTGTTATTGTTATTGTTATAGTTGTTGTTATTAATTAATATTATTGATATTTTTATTGTTAAAATTGTTGTTATTAATTATTATTATTATAGTTAACCACTTTTTATTAAAAAATTAATTGTTAATTATGGCATCGAACAACCCATCATCTAGGTCTAGGGGGAAAGGCCGACTTATCCGTAGTAGTAGTTCTAGGGAACCACCAAATACAACGAGCCCCCAAATTACGAGTCAAACCAATGACCCCATTTACTTCCCCCCGGGCTATGAGCCATATAATACGTCGGGATTTCCAGCACCACCACTAAACCAATTTCCACTACCACCATACCAATTTTCACCTAATTATATCGGTGATCAACAAAACTATTGTTCTAGCCAAGGTAGCCAAGAAAGTACCCGAATTCCCTCCGGTTCTACCCCTTCTACTGCCACTCCCACTAGTCCCACTACTAACCATCACACACATCATGAATGGTTAACCGAAACTGAGATGCTACTTTTGAAAAACCGAAGGAGTGAGGTATGGCGTTATTTTGTCCTAAGTAAAGATGGTGAACAATGGGCAAAATGCAAAACATGTAATAGTGTATTCACGGCAGTTACCAAAAACGGGACGGGACACTTATCTAGACACATGAAAGCTTGTGCAAAACCAGCTAGTGATCCAACCCAGCCCAAAATTTCCCAATTCCATCCATACGGCTTTACATACAACTATGAGAGGGATAGGGATGAACTAGGAAAAATGATAGTACACGCCGAACAACCTTTTCTTTTCTCGGAAAGTGACGCATTCAACACCTACATTAACAAAGCACTACAACCCCAACATAAAAGAATCTCTAGGAAAACCGTTCGTTCCGACGCAATGAAAAATTTCCTAGAGTACAAAGTCCGGTTACAAGCCGAATTGAGTAACCTTAACTGTAGAGTATCTTTAACAGCCGATTCTTGGGATAGTGGTTATAAATATCACTATTTATGTGTGACTTGCCATTGGGTAGATGATCAATGGATGTTACAAAAAAGAATAATACATTTCAAAATGCTGGAATACCCACACACCGGCATTAACATTGCTCACCATTTAATGCAAGCAATAGACGAATACAACCTTTGAGATAAAATGATGTCTATGACTTTTGATAATGCAACCTCTATGACATACACAGCTAATCTTATCAAACAAAACTTAACCGATGTACTATTAGACGGTGAAGCTCTTCATACTAGATGTCTTTGCCATGTACTTAACTTATGTGTACAGGATGGAGTTCGGGCAATTGGCCATACTACAACAAAATCAGAGATGCTATTATGTCTATTAATAGCTCTAACATGAGATACCAAGAATGGAAGAGTTTTCTAAAACAACAAAAGATAAGGGTAATAAAAATTAGAACCGATTGCCCAACTAGGTGGAATTCCACCTATGACATGTTAACAAAGGCAATTGAGTACAAGGGCCCGTTAACATTATTTTACAACCAAAAATTTCCACAAAATGCTTTGTATGATGATGATTGGAATAATTGTGAAAGATATATGCAATTTTTACAATTATTATATAACATGACGTATTGTTTTTCTACTGTTTACAATCCTTGTGCTCAAAACTTTCTTTCTAATGCATGCTTACTCGCCCAACTTTTCGCTGATCATCGCCATCAAAGTGATTATGATCAGTATCTTCCAGCAATGGAAAAAAAGTGGCGTAAATATTATAGTGAGATTCTTTTGATTTATATTTTTGCTTCCATATTAGATCCTAGGCAAAAGTATGAAAACACATTTATGTTAGTTGACATTTACTTTCAATGCATGTTTCTTGACGATGATGTAGAAAACTATAAGACTAATGTGAAGGATCAGTTTTTTGCTTTATATAGAGTCTATGAAGCCAAATATGGCACCGTTCCTCGCTCAGGGCCTTCCCAACCATCCAAAAACGTAAGTAAGAAGGCCAAACATTTATTTTCACAAGCTACTAACTTGATTTCAAGGTTTTCAGGTGATTCATCAATCAGGAGAACGCAAAGCGACGTCTCGGAGTTGCAGATGTACCTGAGTTACGACTTCACCAAAGGCATGGACGACGATGAGATAAACAGCCTCGACCTCCTTGCATGGTGGAAACAACAAAGCTCGAAGCATCCAACTTTGGCGGCAATGGCACGAGACATTCTTGCTATCCAAGTTTCCTCCGTCGCCTCCGAACGAGCTTTCAGCGCATCCGGAAGGGTTTTAGACGATAGAAGAACAAGTCTAAAACCCGAAACACTAGAAATGTGCGTGTGTTTCAAAGATTGGTTGGATGCGGAAAATCGTTCACAAGACCGTTCTTACGACCACAACGACAACGAAGAAGGAACCTCCGCTTCCGGTTCGGGTTCGGCTAGTTCCCAATCTATGCAACTAGCCGATGACCTTGAAGGCGAAGGCGAAGACGAAGACGAAGACGAAGACGAGCAAGAAGAAGGAGAAGAAGAATAGACAATTATTGTATATTGTACGATTTTAAAAATATCAATTTTATCATTTTCCAATTTTTGTTTAATACCATCATTGTATGATTTTTATCATTGTTATCATTGTACAATTTTCTCAACTCAAGTAATAATAATATAAAGTACGCATTATTCACATCCAAAGTCCAATTTGCCTTTTTTCCCCGTTTTGTTACAATTTGTAAATTCATATTAAAAAAAATAAAATTATACCAATTACTAATAAATCATAAACATTAAATTTTAAAGTAATAGTATAAAGTAAATATATAAATATAAATATTGAATATACAAATTATAAAACATAAATATTCAACTTATAATTATAAAATTCATAACTTAATAACTTATAACTTATAAGTTATAAACTTATAAGTTATAACCTTATAAAACTTATAATTATAATTTTATAACTTATATACATTATAAACTTATTAATTTATAATGTTGTCATATAAAAAAAAAATAAATAAATAAAATATTTGAAAACTGCACCAGCCCGCAGGCCGGCACGTGGCCGGCACGGCACGAGCCCGCCAGGCACGAGGGCCGTGCCGTGCCGTGGGCTGGCCTGTGAAAATGGCCGGCACGGCACGACACGAAATCCTAGGCCCGCCGGCACGACGGGCACGACAT